CTTCAGACTATTGACCATTTGACGCACATGCATAGTTGTCTTTTCCGTGAGGTATGTACTCATGTCGTTACTGATAGTGTTACCTAAAAAATTGTGGCTTTTTTTTTTCGTTCTCGTATAGAAGTGGCAATAAGTTGGGTGCGACACACCCCCTGGTTAAATAACTAAACATTCTTTTATAACTTTTTTGCTATAGACTGATAGAAAAATTGTATTTGTAAAGATTCAATAAAAATTATTATTATTATTATTAATTCCTTGCTTGGCGCAAAGTATAATATAATATAATGCAATTTTCTTTATCTATGAACTTTCAGAATCCTTGCCATTTTTGATAGTTATTGATGTGTCATGGCTGAAGGTGGTGGTGTAAAAATTGATCTGCTGTGTGGTATTTGTCTTATGGAATACAAGAAACCCAAACTGTTGTCCTGCTTACACACGTTTTGTGAAGAATGTCTCAAGTTCAATGTTTCGGTCGGTGCAATTGTCTGCCCAATTTGTGAACACAAGACTTCTTTACCAGATGGAGGATTAAAAAGCCTAAAGGATAACAAAATTGTGGAGTATGATGAGAATGACTCCGAATTTGGAGCTCGATGTGATGGCTGCATGAGACCAATTGGATCAACTAAATGTCTGGACTGTTCCTCGACTTTATGTGAAGGTTGTGTGGCGAGTCACAATTATAATTATGCTGACCATGAGCTGAAAAGTCTTCAAGATGAGTTGTTGGTTTGCCCTGAACATCAAGACCAGTGCCAGCACTACTGTAAAATGTGTGATGAACTGCTCTGCGATAAATGCCTAAGATCGCATGAACAGCACATCACATTCTCTCTTCCAGAAGGAGATGAGGACGCTGCACTGAGTATCGTTGAAGCAATTAATAAGTGCAAACAACAAGTCAGGAACCTTCAGCTGACTTCAGCAGATATCGAAAAAGCTTCTGAAAAGATACAGCACGAGAAAACAGACAAGATAAATTTGATCGAGAAGAAATTTGAGAAGCTGTTTGAAGACCTTGCAAAGTGCAAAGATAAACTGATACAAAAGATTGAGAAGAGTTTTTATGTTCAGCAGAAGTATTTGCAAGTGGAGAAACATAGCATGTATGTTGGGGAAAGTCTAATCAACCATTGCTGCCAATTCAGTGAGAAAGTAGTTGGTAGCAACAACCACTCTGGTTTGGTTCTAGCTTATAAGAAAGATATTATGAAACGTCTATGTCAGTTGTACATGGCAACAAGCTTTTTACCCAGCTTCCAAGATAAGAAGTTCATTAATTGTCTGCCAAGTGTCAACACTCAAGATTTATGTAAGGTGGAAGAAGTAGTGAGGGATTTGGCTTTGGAAGATAAGGGAAATGTTAAAAGTGAAGTTTCCACAACAAAAATCAACTGGCCAAAATCTGGGGAGAAAAATGTTCTTAATTGTTACTGATACAACTTTTCTATTAAGATTTCATTGGTTTTTATAAAAAGAAAAAGTTATATTCATTCATCCAATGAGAAAGTACAGCTGTTTTACATCTAAGCATATGGCTTCATACAGTTAATATATATCCGAAAAATAACACAGAAGTGAAACAGGCTACTGTAAGTGTTGATATAACCACTAGTGCAATGTTACATGGACACAGTTCTCCTTTTAGATGGAACCTTGTCATTTTTTGTATTTTTTGTTATTTTGTTAAACTTGTTGAATTATCTACTTTAGTACACAGATCAGTTTTTCTAGTTTTAACATATTCATATGTTTACTATATGTACTAACTTTGTCATAAAGATGTCAACATGACTACACCTTACTTTGAAACATTATTTGATTTGCTGTTATTGGTCAGTTTAAGAGATTTTACAAATTATCTGTGATATCAGATAATAAGCTTTTATATTAGTCCAGAGGTGTAGTCTAAGAAAAAAACAATCTTGGATTGCAGTAGTTAAACTTGTACCAAAATATGGTTAGAATTATTTATTTTAAAAATGTATCTGATTTCAGTTAAAAATCTTTTCATCATGTTTGTTTTCGTTGGTAGAAAGATACCAGTTTGTTTTTAAATTTTGCTTTAATAAAGTCTTGCATTTTTGTTGAATGTGTGTTTGTTTGTTTGTTACAAAAATAAATTATAAGTGATGTGAGAAATGTATCTCCATATTTATTTTGTTTATGAGACTCCAAAAAAATTAGGTGCCATATTAATATTATGAGTTCCCACTTGAGAAATTATGGTAATTATTTTCTCATAAATTCTCGTACCTGCTTGGACCTGTCTTTAGCTTGAACCCAGTGTCAGCAGACAGATTTTAAAAGTTAATGTGAATTTAGAAGAAAGGACCCAAAAGGCAGAGGTGGTGTTTATAGCAAATCAATTCTGATGGGGTTCACATCAATTTTAGATTAAGAGGGATTCATTCACAAAATGAGTTTGCCAGACTAGATGGTGCCCTCTTTCGCTTCATGACATTCTAAGATGCTGAAAATTAAATCTAATCTGCGGAAATTATCAGTAATTTTTATTTGCGAAAAACATTCCGACCCAGATATGTTATAAATATCATAATTGTTGCATTTGACCTTTAACCCTAGATCTAGAGTCAATTATGTCATAGCATGGAAGGTACTAACGAATGGATCCATGATGCCTATCAAGTGGCCACTTAAGCCTCTTAACTTCCATGGCCATAGATACACAGCGCATGTAACAAAAGGTCATTGTAGTTTCTCTTGGGTTTATGATGGAACTAATTCATATATCAAAGGTTACATACAAAATATAATTGATAATATTTATTATACATATCACTTGACATGAAAATGTTCTTTCAAATGTATTTATTTGTGAAAGTCTTCTTTCCTGCTGAAGAGAGAATATTGGTTATAGGCAGTACCCAAATAAGTACAGATTTGATCCCAACATTGCTCATTTGTCTCAAACTGTTCAAACGTAATACAGTACAGTGAATTATTTTTCATATAAAATATTATGCATTTTATAAATTTTAAATGATGATTGAAAACAACTTGACCAATCACAGCAGGAAACATGGCAGTAAATCGGCCAATGATTGGAGAAACCAATGAAAACATACTACATGTATTTGGATTTGGACTTCCATCCTAGGGTAAAAGTCATAAAAAAACATTTATGCCTTCATAAAATTCAGTGTACTTTACTATCTATTTATATTATTTTAAACATTTAATTCAAGTTGATTTGTATAAAAAATATATCTCTTCAAGAATCAGGTACCCAACAGATATTAGTAATCATTTGATTTGGCTGGTTCTGGTTTTTCTATATCTTCTTTCCGGATTAATAATAAGTAAATTATCCTTTTTTTGAATAATTACATTTATTGATCACCAACGCAAATTGTATTTTGAAATATATAGTACCCCCGGTATACCTTTCTTTTTGTATCAAAAACGAAAGCAAATCTATTTCAAAATAAGTTCTTAGAGGGCGTTCACATTTGCCAATCAAGATGGCCGTCCAGCTGATCTAGAAACACGTGTGAGTAACATATTCAGGTTTATAGATTTACTTTCAAGCATATAATCAACAATCGCCATTTATATGCATATAATATCGTCTGCGATATTTACGATTCACTTTTGTGTATAGAATCAGCTGTGATTCGTGTATTTTAGTGGTCGGGCAGTAATATTACTGTAAGTAATATCTTCACTTCAAATGTTCGAGTGACCTGCTAGCTGTTTCTACCTCGCTACTGACTATTTCAGTCAGATCTTATGTCTGTCGAACTTTACACGCATCCATCTACTCTCGTGGATGTTGTCAGCTTCATGCGTCGGCAAGAGCATAGGTCGTGAGCGTGCAACATACCCCGGGCATCGTATGACTTTGATATCCACAATTCACGAATTACTATAACGCGGTGATCCCATATACGAATTTTGGGATTCTAAAAATAAAATAGTTTTAGCCACACAAGTTCAAACTGGTTTAGCCACTTGGCAAATAAGGAGAAATATCAGATAGGTGAAGAAATTTAAATGTGCTACTGTAATATACACTTTATATTATGAGGTTATTCACAAAATCATGAATGAAAACGTAAATTCCAGTATTTTGTGTATAACCTTATTATTATACTCCTTTTGTGGACTAAAACGTTGGGTTTGCACCTGCCATCACCCATATTTATATCATTGAACATTGCTTTAGCTTCACTGATTCCAGCTTGTAGTTAGCATTTCAATGTATGGGAACATGATGGTCTGAATTACCAATTTAGTGCAGTACTTGATGTTCAATTTACATTTCTATGGGAGACGACGACCATTATCATAGAATAAATTATGGTTTGAAATTGGCCATTTTTGGTGAAATTGCCACAGATCTAAATGAACTTCGTCATCGGTCACTGGGAAAGGGTTATCGGAAACCCAGACAAATTGCGTTGAATATGCATCTGTTAAAGTGATTATTAAGTGTGCAAACAAGGAGGGAGGATGTTTATCGTCATTATTCAGTTTGCAAATTTTGTTTTCTAGCTTGCCACACAAGACACATTTATTTTAACTTATGATCTATTTCTATTTATGTTATTACTGGTAGCATTTAGTAAAGGACATTAGTATGGCATCGGTTCAGAAGAGATTGTATATTGGTGGCTTGTTTGATGGAATCAAAGAAAGTGATCTGAAAGAAAGATTTCAACAATTTGGTCAAATTGATTCTATTAATATTAAAGGAAGAAAGAATGAACAAGGCAAGTGTATTCAAATATTATGTTGATTTGTAAGAAAGTTGTTTTTGAATGTTGTCACTAAACAGTTGAGCCTTCTTTTCTTCATTACTTGTATTTGATGTGTTTCACGCACTGAGAAAAGTTCTACCATTGTATATTTTGGGTGTTTAGGAAACCCGATCCTGCCTTTTACAACCTGCTTGAACTACAGGAAACAATTCATTTATCTTCCAAGATGTTTATTGAATTTTATAAGATGACATTTTCACCATGTTGATATCATTTCAGGTGAGACTGTGAAAACATTTGCTTTTATTCATATGAAAACTACAGAAGAGAATCTAAAAAAATGTAAGTAAATTTATGTTCAAATTTTATTTGCTGGATCTGTGAGATTAATCTCCTTGCATGTGTTACAATATATTGTAAAAAAAAGCATCAGTTCACATTTTTGATATAACAAAATTAATTAATTACAAAAACAAAACGTTGTTTCGCAACCATAAACTAAACTATTACCGAGGAAATCCTGGTTACAATATTTCTACTTTTATGTACGGATTGGCAAAACATATTGCTTCCGAGACAAATTGTGTCGTTCCTAAAACTTGACCCTATTTTTACTCCTTGACCCTAATTTTTTTTTGGGTCATATTTGTGAAAACATCACAAAATTGTGCCAGGCTTTGAATGTGATTTTACAGAAATTCAAAAATTTGCAAAACTCAGTAATGTAATCAACTTTCAATATCAGTTATGACACTCGTCTGCAAAAACAGTCCTTATATGGAAGGAGGTATAAACAGATACCTCCATGTTATATGCAAGAAAAAAATTTAACCCAAAAAAAATATATATATATAAACTACAAACAAATCCTTCCTTTTCCTACTGTATTTTTGAAAAGTCTGTTACATTTGGCCTAATGACACTTTCAGTTGGTAAAAGTAATATACTGTTAAGCAGTTGCCCAGCTAATTTATACATGTATATGATGATTTTTTAAAAGGTATCAGTATTTTCAGCAAATCAAAATGGAAAGGTCATCAGGTCGTAGTTCAAACTGCCAAGGAAGACTTTATTTCAAGGTAAATTCAAAACAGATTTATGTAGTAAAATTTTTAATTATTTGTACATAGTTTGTTTAATAAAAACCCTAAATCACACATATTCCTGCTAGCAAAGTTTTCACTTATCACCACAGAGGGCAGTTTACCCATATAGGATGTCATAGATTTTCAGCATTTTCAGTTTGTTTCTCAGCTGTGAGCAATTACTTTAAGAAACAGTGACATCTTTACACCTGTATGGCAACAATTTTTATTTCTAGATGATACTATTCTAGGATTTCAAGAAAACTGTTGAACCAACAGTAAATGTCCATTTCAATATTTTTGGAAAATCATTGTATTTAAGAAAACATTCTCTATGTTGTCAAGGTAACTGAAAACTATGGTATTTTAAAGTGTTGATTATTGCATGTTAATTACTTAGTTTCTATAAAATTTACGTTGAAACACACTCATAAAAAGATGGCTGCTCATGTTTTGTTCAACAGATTACAACAAGAAAGAAATTCAGCAAATATTCCTGACGTCATTCCTGAAAAAAAGACTAAGACAAATTCTGAACTGGAAAAACATTTATGTGATGCTGGTGTG